ATAACCCAGACCCAAATTCTCCACTAGTTACCCTACCCTAAAACATGCTAGTTTTCAAAATGTACCGTTTGGAGCAATCTGGAACCTCCAAATATTTACTTGGTCAATGGTCAATTCAAATTTATGAGTGCTGGTACTGCTTATCCATTGCCCTAATATGTCATTTTTTAATATAATCATTTCTGCTCTGTATAAAATCCAAGTCAGTAAAGCCAGCTATATGCCTTAAGTCAATTTTTTTTAACTTAAAGAAAAATAGGAATACCCAAAAATGATTTTTACCTGATTGATTTGTCCTGAAGAGATCCTACAAGCACTGTCAGATGTTGAACACTGGGCAGAGGTGGAAAACGATGTCATTTTGGCAGTGAAGAAATTGAAGTCTGTGGGTAAAACTAAAAGAAAAAAACATTTATAAAATCAATTCTAAAGTAGAAAATTCTCTTTGGCATTTATCCAGCAGAAGTAAAAGACACATATAACAGAGCACCCTACACAAATGCTGAAGTTATTCATACCTTCTGATCACTTTCTAGTTCAGATCCTGCAAAAAACTGAAAAGCTTAATTAAGAATCACCTATGCTTCCCTCAGGTGAAGCCTGAAACAGAAACAGGCTCGGGCATGCTCCAACCTCCTCACTGAGGTTAACAAGTAAATTGTTTTAACTGAAAGTCAAATTTACAATCATTACCTCCCTAATGGTTATCAGCTGGTTCTTTAGTAGCTCCTCCTCCTCTTGGGCAATGTTCAAGAGCACCCTCTAGCAGACAGACCCAGGACTGGGGAATTACCAAGATAAGTCATAGAATTAAGATTTCAAAAGGACTTCCAGGAAAAACTCTGCAACATGTTGGAACATGTCTTGAGAAGAGACCACAGAAAATGAGAATCAACATTTTCAGTGTCAATTAAAACAGCTCTTAAATGTACCAAATCCAAAAAGAGCACAGCAATTACATACCTACAAAATGGGTTAAACCAAGATAGACATATATCATCCAGGAAAAGAGGTTAGCATGAATAGAAGAGTATGGTTTAATTGAAATTTTTCACCTTCTACCTTTTCACCTTTAAAAAAAAAAAGCTATAGAGAAGAAAACTAGATTGCCCAGGCTGTTCTGGAACTCCTTCGGCTCAAGTGATCCTCCTGCTTCGGGCTCCAGAGTAGCTGGGAATACAGGTGCAAGGCACACCCAGGTGGAAAACAGATTTTTAAATAAACTTGAGTTACCTTCATGCCTTTTTATAATAAAAAGGCAACAATAAATTAGTGAATTTATGACTAACAAGCCCCATCAGAGAAAGGGAGCGCAGAAAAACAATCTACAAATATACTGGCTGAAGCTAAGGAGATCCCTCACTAGTCTGAAGATGCTTATTAGCCATAACAAAGTATCAATTCCTCCCTCCCCCATCATGTTCCCTTTTTACTGACACAGGAAGTCAAATAGGATACAAGCACAACTACAATTTTAAAGCTGGCTTTTAATTTCAAACCTTACAAGTATAAAACCAATCCTGATCTCCCCAAATCTGCTTGCTAGACCTGTACTCTTCCCTGTGTCAATAAATGGCAACTCCATTCTTCCAGTCACTCAGATCAATAACCCTGAAGCCATTCTTGACTCTTCTTTCTCTTACACTCCACACCTACTCCATAAATAAATTCTGAAGCTATTATCTTCAAAATATTTCCAAAATCTAACCACTTCTCACAAATTCCATTATTACTACACTAATGCAAGCCACCTATCTCTTAATTGCATTAGCCTCCTCAAAGAATATAGGAATTACAAATTTTTTCTCCTATACTCTCATGCAACAATCAACGCATTAAGACTTCTGTGACCTCTGGTCAACCAAGAAGTGGGGTATTTCTCCCCACCAGCAACCAATCAATTCTGTAGGGGACACCATCCAGGTGTCCTGTAAATTCTACATGGAGAGAGTGTCAGATCCAGCAAGTTGAAGGCTCGTCAGTACCATAAGACTGTTCCCCACTTCTGACGCCAATCCCAAGCTCCAGGTTGTTTTACCCGTGCTTCTGACTGACCAGGTATAAACTGGAGTTCCCATGACCCCCTCTTTGAGTTTAATTTGCTAAAGTGACTCACAAAACTCAGGGGAAACATATTTACTGATTTTAAGGCTATTACAAAGGATACCAGTGAACACCAGATGGATAGGGCAAGGTATGGGGGAAGGAGCACAGAGCTTCCATGCCCTCTCCAGGAGCACCACCCACCAAGAAGCTCCTTTTCGGGGTTTTTATGGAAGCTTCATTACCTAGGTGCAATTGATTATATCAGTTAAGTGATCAACTTAATCTTCAGCTACTCTTCCCTTCCCAGAAGTTTGGAATGGGGCTTAAAGTCCAAAGCCTACAATCCTGCCTAGGTCTTTCTTGTGACCAGCCCCCCAACCCTAAGCTACCAAGGGGCAGCCAGCCAGCTGTCAACTCATTAGCATACAAAAAGACATTTATCACTTTGGGATTTCAAGAATTTTAGAAGTTGTATGCCAGGAAATGAATGTGGGTGTGAGTGTGGGGGTGTGTGTACTCCACAGTATCACACCCCCTAAAGGTTTTCTTGCTTCCACCCTTGCCCTCTATTTTTTTTTTTTTTTTTTGGATTATGGTTACAAAATCGTTTTAATTGAGTTCTTTCTGCATTATGAGCCACCCTGGACAGGCAATGGAATGTGCGTGTGGTCACTATTCCCTCCAGTTACAATATTGAGCCTGGAATCAGAATTGCTATTATCAAAATATACATCTGTGTCACCATAAAAAACTACATGTTGCTGCCCCTCATGTCTTGCCCTCCAGTTCTAATCCTTCTCCTTTCATTTTTGCTCAAATGTCAGTTTGTCAATCAATCCTTCCATGAATACCCATTTTAAAACTGCAACTCCCAACCTCCAGGATTCCCTATCTCCTCCCTGCTTTATTTTTCTCCACCGTCCTTATTACCAACAAGCACACTACATATTCTAATTATTTTTTATGTAGAACATAATAAGCTCAAAATGGGCAGGGATTTTTATCTACTTTGTTCATTAATATATTCCCAGTGCCTAAAGCTGAAAACTATATAAATAGTAGAACAACATGGTGGATAGAAACATTAATAATAGCACAGATGGTTTCTAAAAACAGCCCCCAACGAACCACACACTGTGGCTTAAGTTAATCAATGGAATGCAGTGGGTGATAAAGTGCCAATTCCAGGCCTGGTTGCTCCATTTTTTGTGCTTTGGGACGTCCTTGAATTGTGGCTACCCTACTGGACACGAGGCAAAAAAGCCACATGGATAAGGAGAGACCCAGTTTTCCGGCTGAGCCCAGACTTCTAGCCATACCCTCCAAAGCACCACACACATTCCAGCCCCAGTTGCTACCTGACTTAGAGCTGCATGACAGACCACAGCGAGACCACCAGAAGAATTGTCAAACTCAGCCAGTCTGCCCACAGAACGAGAAATAAATAAAACGGCTGTTTTAACTCACTAAGTTTTTGGGTGGTTTATTACATAGCATTAGATAATCGAAACAAACAAGACTCACAGAGCTTACTCTGCATCAAGCACATATATAAACCCATTTAATACCTAAATAGCCCTATGATGTAGGTATTATCTTTATCTGGATGGAAGCAAAAAAAACAGAGAAGTAATTTGCCCAAGATCACACAATAAGTTGCTGAAGTCAAGATTTCAAACTCAGACAAGCACTAAAGTCCCCACTGAGCAATATTTTTTTCCACTAGACCTCAGGTGCACAGAATTAGATTAATCATAATTCTTTTATTTAAGACATACTCTCACTGTTCATCCATACATGGCCTGATTTTATTTGATTATTTTAATTTTTTGTTGTTGTTGAGACAGTCTCCCTCTGTCATCCTGGCTACTAGAGTGCCATGGCATCATCATAGCTCACTGTAACCTCAAACTCCTGGGCTCAAGTGATTCTCCCGTCTCAGTGCTTCAGCCTCCCCCATAGCTGGGACTACAGGCACTCACTGCTATGTTGGGCTAATTTTTCTATTTTTTGTACAGGGTTTCACTCTTGCTTAGGTCTGGAACTTCTGGCCTCAAGCAATCCTCCTACATTGGCCTCCCAGAGTGCTAGGCTTACAGGCTTGAGCCACCACACCTGGCCCCATTTTTACTTGATTATTTTAAATAATTGAATAAGCATCCACAAAACAAGACTCAGACAATAACCTATATCAACCACACTCCCCATCCCATTCCCCTGCCTCCCTGCAACAATCCTGAATCCTACATTTTCATTTCCCTTGCTTTCCTTCTCATGCATTTTACTGCATCAAAATGGATTCCTAAAAAGTATATATTTTTAGTTCAGTTGCTCTTAACTATAAAAAAAGCAGATATGTTACATGTAATTTGGGCATTTAAATTCATTTTTTATTAAAAAAATTTAATGTAGTAAACTACACTTAACAAAATTTACCATTTTAACCATTTTTTTTTTTTTGAGACAGAGTCTCACTCTGTTGCCCGGGCTAGAGTGCCGTGGCATCAGCCTAGCTCACAGCAACCTCAAACTCCTGGGCTCAAGCAATCCTTCTGCCTCAGCCTCCCGAGTAGCTGGGACTACAGGCATGCGCCACCATGCCCGGCTGAATTTTTCTCTCTCTATATATTTTTAGTTGTGCAGATCATGTCTTTCTATTTTTTAGTAGAGACGGGGTCTCGGTCTTGCTCAGGCTGGTCTTGAACTCCTGACCTTGAGCGATCACCCGCCTCGGCCTCCCAGAGTGCTAGGATTACAGGCGTGAGCCACCGCGCCCGGCCTTTAACCATTTTTAAGTGTACAATTCAGTGACATTAACTACATTTCCAATATTGCACAACCATCACCACTATCCATCTCCAGAACTTTTTCATCATCCGAAACTGAAAACTCTGTACTCAACTCCTCACTTCCCACTTTCCAGCACGTGCTAACCACTATTCTACTTTCTATGAATTTGCCTATTCTAGGTACCTCATATAGATGAAATCATATAATATTTGTTGTTTTGTATCTGGCTTATTTCACTTAGCATAATGTTTTCAAAGTTCATCCATGTTGTAGTATACTTTTGTTCATTTTTCATTTACTTTGACTTCTGTATGATATTCCTATGTTTCAGGTTTTGGAATATTTGCATCATACCTACTAGCTGAGCATCCCACATCTGAAAATACAAAATTTGCCAATGAGCATTTCCTTTGAATGTCATGTTGGAGCTCAAAAAATTTTGAAGCATTTAAATTTTCAAATTTGGGATACTCAACCCATGTTAACATTCTTGTACATAACTTAAGCCATTTTTTTGCTCCCTGCTATGGTTTGAATGTTACCTTCAAAACTCATGTTG